GGCCTGGCACAGCCCTGGTTGTTGTGGGCATTTGGGGAGTGAACCAGCCTTTAAATAAATCAATCAACATTTTTAAAAAAAGATTTAGTGGGTGCAGCACCTGTCAGAAGGCTCCACTTCAAGGCCCTGACAGGGCAGGGGACAAGTGCCACAGAGAAATCCGAGAAGGGGCCAAGGGAGCCACTGTGTAGGCAGGCAGGGAAGGCCTCTCTGGGGAGGTGACACTGCAGCAGAGGCAGTGACAGTGCTGTGGCAACCTCCTGGGGACTTGCTGATGGCAGGATGTGGGGTGAGGGCCAGGGCAGCCGGATGACTTGGGACCCATCATGACACGGCTGGGATGATTCCAGACGAGCTCTAACCATGTCAAACAGTTGTCTCCGTTGCTCTTCATAACACACCTGTGGTATCAGCAAGACAGAGACACCCACAGGGGAGCACCCTGGTGGAGGAGCTGTGGTTGGGAGGCCAGCCTGGGACCCTGCTCTTTGAACTCCGATCCCTGCTGGGATAGCAAAGCCCATCACAAGGCCAAGCGCCTCCCCAGACCCAGCCCCACAACCCCCGGCAGCACCAACATCAGGCAGCACCTGCAGGCAGGACCCGGGCCGGCTCTGGCGTGAGTCACCGTGCCCGGCACCACCCGCACGGATGGGGCACTCGGCGCCCGGGATGGGTGAGCTGGCAGATGAGGGGGTGGCTTTCCCACAGGGCTTCTTCAGCCCGGCAGCCGTGGGTGAGGGGGCCGCCGAGTCAGCACTTTTGCAGACTCCTGCAGGAACACTCAGGACTGGGGCTGTGAGAGCGGCTCAGGCTCAGGCGGTGGTGCAGTCCCCCTCCTCGGCCCCTCGTGACTCTGCACAAAGCCCGACTGTGCTGGGTTCCAGCCGCTGGGAGGAGAGAGGCGGGGTCTGCCACAAAAGCCCATCCTCTCTCCTGAGCCACAGGGTCTTGGCTCTGCCCAGCCTGGGACCCGTGCTCCTGGCCCACCAAGGGGTCTGCTGGGTCCAGGGGGTGTCTGTGGGGTAAGGGACACTGCCCACGGTAAACCTTTTCCCTGCAAGTCTGCCTCCCGGAGTCCCCAGGCCACACAGTGTTACAGGGCAAAGGTGACCTGCAAGATCACAAAATGACAACAAATAAATAAATAAATAAAAAAGCCTTCCTCAAATCCAGCCATCAGATGAACCCATAGCAACCTGTGTTTATTTCGCCCTCCTGCCCCAGGCCCTGCACTGGGGGGCCCTTTCCCTTCATGGCACAAGTTCATGCTCACAGACTCCCTGTGCCCATGGCACAGATGAGAGGCTCCCAGAGGAGGGGCAGAGCAGGGTCTGACAACACCCAATTCACCTTTCTCTGCTTGATCCCTGCTGGGTACTCGGATCCCCGGCAACCCCTGGGGGCGGCCGGCCCGAGGACTTCTGCCAGCGGGCTCCCCCGCACTGACACTGCACACATGGTACAAGGTACTCAGAGCTGGCAGGAGTCAGCTCAAAGCCTGGCAGCTCACCCCAGCAGCACTGCCAAACCTGGGGCTGCCACCCGGAGGCCACCTGCCCCCTGGCCTGGGCACTTCCTGGCCTGGGCCGCGGGCCACCACGGTCTCCCTGCCCCCTGGGGCTGGCTAGGGTTGGCCGGGCACTTGGCCCTCAGATCCTCCTCCATAAATAGGGCCGGGGATGTGGTCGAACTGCTTCTGCCAGCACAGATGAAGAATCATAGAGCGACTGATTCATAACTCCCTCGAGATGCGGCCCTCTCGCAGGCCTGAGATGCTGCTGTCTCGAGGACTTTGGGGTGTCTTAGCTGTGCTCCCCTAATGAGTGCATAGTCCCCAGCCCCGGGCATAGAGCTGGAAGCAGGTCGGAGAAGCCAGCAGTGTCCGTGTCCAAACACACCCAGCCCCGGGCCCATGGCTTTGCCCATAAAGCAGCCACGGAGTGAAGGCGCCAACTTTGGACACAACAAACATAGCCTTCAAGTTCTTCGGTTGAGTTCAAAGAGAGCCTTAGTAACCTGGCGGCTTTGAAATTCAAGAAAGGGTTGTGCTTGAAGCTCTATCATCTTCAGATGGCTCTTTTTCACCGAGCATGCGTGACACGGCGTGCAGAGCCAAGCCCTTCCTGTGGGCTACTGCGGTTCATCCTCACTCCCACAGCTACTGAGGGGGAGCCCGGAGCTCAGAAAGGGGCCACAAAATTGACATGGTCGGACACTAAGCCTTGGGCCTTCCTCTCCAGTAAAGCCACTGAAGCAGGCAAGTTCATTCTCTTTCCTTGACTTATTCTTCTAAACTCCAAACCTTTTCAGGCTAACGCACAAAGTTTTGCCCTGTGTTTGATTTTAAGGAGAGTAAGGGGGTGCTGTGTGTTTGACATGGAAGGACATCGCTGTAAAGTGTTGCTAAGAACTGGCATTCCCCTACCGAGTCACCCGGGACCAGGGGTGTGGGCAGCTGAGCTGGGACGGCTCACGGGCAGGGAAGCCAGGCAGAGGTTTGGGGCCAGACGCCGTGGAACCTGAGTGCGACTCCCACCCTGCCAGCATCCCCGTCTCAGAAACGGGTACTGCTCAGGTCTCCCAGGGCTGCGCGGGGACAGGAACTTTGTGCCAGAGCCTGGCCCAGAGTCAACAGGGGCTGGCGAAGTTCTTCGTTCTGTTTTCTAATAAATTACAACTCTCTTCCAAGCACTTGCTCTCCTGGTCTTAACTCGTACCTGCCTCACAGCCTCTTCCCGCAGGAAGTAGGCAGAAGAGAAAGGAACCCGGCCTGAGGCAGGCAGGGGTGCTGCTGGCCAGGCCACCCTGCTTTGCAGACCCAAATGCTTGCCCTCTGCTTCCCTCCTCCCAACCTGGGATTCAGAGAGCGCCCTGGGCTCCTACTTGCTCCAAGAAGAAAGCAACGCGGGCAAACCTGGACAACAGTGTACCTGGGGCTGGGCAGGGAAACCCGCCAGGTGTCCTCTCCCAGGGCCTCCCTGGGGACCCTGCCACCCCTCCCCCACCAGCACTGACACTGCTCCCGAGGCTCCTCCTCCAGGACTGTTGGAAATGCCACACCCCATCCCCCACCTGAGCTGCTGAACAAAGAGTCCTCACAGGGCAGCTGTGGAGGAAGTGAGGTGTGGCAGGAGCCAGGTGGGAGCCTCTCAGACTGTCCCCACCGGCCCTTGGAGCAGGAGCAGGAGGGACCCTGGAGCTCTCCCCCTCCCTCCCCCTGCACTTGCAACACCCCTTCCAGGAAGGCCACTTTCCCTTCCTAAGGTTTTGGGAAAGTGACTCAGAGCTCTGAGAACCCAAGGATAAAGGTCATTTAAGCAAGCTGACCCCTCCCCATGCTCTGAGCCATGAATGGGCACAGCTACTCTGGGGTGGCAGGAGGGGGTCCCGCAAGCCACCACCACCACCCCCCCTTCCGCCGCCCTGTAGCACACCATCCCTGCACACCCCCGCCACAGTGCTCACGAAGCACTGCCGGGACTGCACAACCACCCTGCTCAACCCCCCTCCAGGCTCCCCTTGGCCTAAAGACTGAAGGCAGGTCCTGCCACCCATTACCTACACACACCTCCCAGGATCCTCCTTTGACTCCCAGACCCGAGCCTCTGACTTCTCTTTCTGCCCAAATCTCTCTACCCTGCTGGCCCCTCTGCCCAAATCTGTCCGCCTGCTAGCCCCTCCTCCAGGAAGCCAGCCCTGGCTGCCCTCACCCTGCCTTCTCCCCTAAGGACTGCTCCAGCCTCAGCAGTGCCACCCCCTTCCCCTGCAAGCTTCAGGCAGCTCCTGCTGGCTTGTCTGCCTCTCCTGGGCATGACTGCCCCCAGCCCTGGGACCCTCCTGGAGATCTGGCCTGTAGCCCTGCTGATCACCTCGCAACAGAGAGCAGCCAGCAGGTGTCCCAGTGTCTCAGAGACCCCGCAGGGGGTGATATCACCCTCAGGGTGCAAATGAGGAAACTGAGGCACGCAGAGGTTTGGCTTCTTGCCCAGAGACCACAGCCCCACTCTATTCTGAGATGACAGGCTTGGGGGGAACCTGGGAGAGTCAGCAGATAACAGGGTGGTACAGGCCAGCAGGCCTAGCCAGGACCCGGACGACTGAGCCCGGCCACCGTCAGGCCCTGGGCGTCGGGCAGGTCCTTCCAGGGCCCTCCTCACCGACACAAACAGAGCTGTTGCCATGAAAGCCCAGGGCTGGCTCTGGGCCTAGGCCCGTCCACGCGGTCCCTCCCACAGCAGTGCCCCTTTCTGCCACGGCCCGTCCAAACGCCTGCTCCCAGGAAGCTATGCCTCCAGCCTGCCTTTGCTCCCTGGCGTGCCCAGGCCCGCTGCCCTTGTTTGTGGGCGCCCGAGAAGCAGCACCTTCCGGATCAGCTCTTCTGAGGGCTTTCCTGGGCAGGAAATCTTCAAAACCAGATTCCCACTGTCAAATCTGTTCGGGAAACACTAAACAATTTTGCTTTACAGGACTTGTCAGGGCCTTTCATTCTCTTAACTGTATCTGAATGGCCCACGGTGGGGAGGAGAGGGTGAGATTTGCCGGCTTCTACTCTTCCTTGTCCCCTGAACCCTTAGAGCCACTCAGAAAGGTGCCAGGGCAGGACCCAAGGGCAGTGGGACTGGCTCAGCCTTGCCCTCCCGTGAGCAGGTGTGTGGGAGCCCCAGGCAGCCCCTCGGGCCCTGCCTAAGGCACATTTGCCCTCACTGTCTCCCTCCCTGCCTCCTTCTGCTGCCCCTGCCAGCCCCCCAGGGGACTTCAACTGACCAGTGCCCTGGGACGTCTGCCCCAGGCCAGGCAGAGACCCCCAAAGCAAGCTGGGCAGTTTCGCTATGCACACTGCTCCTTCCGTCCCATCACTAGCATGCACACCTTCACATTCACCCAAGCTGGGGATGCCCCAGGCTGCCTATGCCCCCCATAAACCCTGTGCCATCCAGGGAGGGCACTGGACCCCTCAGTTTGCAGATCAGGGGACTTAGAGAGGAGCAGGTACTTGCCTGAAGTGGCCCAGCCAGGGGCAGAGCAGAGAGCAGCATGCAGGCCCCCAGTCCCAGCTACACCGGGGCGGAGACAGCGGCTCAGGTAACCATCAGTGGCAGCGACCAGGACTCCCGCAGGCTGGCCGAGAGGACTCTGCACACCCTGGGGTGAAGGGCCCGCGGCCAGCGTGACGCCGAGGGCTCTGAAGGCAGCTGTCCTGGCTGGAGCTGGGGGGCTGGATCAGCTCTTCCCCAGTCTCTCGGCCCCACCCTGGCTGGAGGAAGGGTGCTCTCCCCAGATTGGCTCCCTACAGCCCCAGGCTCGGCTGTGGGCAGAGATAAGGCGCCTCCGTGTCACCCTGCCCGGAGACACCGTCATCCCAGACACCCCCTTGTGGCCTTGGGAGATCCTCCTGGTCAGGGGCCCTGGAAATCAGGCCGGTATCCCTGGCCGGCAACTCAAGCCCCCTCACTCAGTACCAACTCCCCTGCAGAATGACCCCGCACCCCACATCCTCCTCACTTCTCTCTGCCCCATGCCCCGCCTCACCTGAATCTCCGTCAAGAGCTCCCCCGACCCCCAGCAGCTCCAACGCCTCCCCAGCACACCTCCAGGAACCCAGGCAGTCCCCTGACCTGCTCCAGGTCCCTGTCTCTCGTGACCCCAGTGTAAGCTTCTGCTACACAGAGCGTGGCCCACGGACCAACAGCATTCCAGGGGCTTGTTAGAAATGCAGAGTGCCAGGCCTCAGCCCAAACCTGCTGAATCAGACAGGACCAACCTGCCTTTTTAACAAGGTGCCCGCAGGATCCGCGTGTGCCCAAGTTTGAGAAGCACTTTTATAGACCACTGTCTCATCCGGCCATCACACCTGTATAGCCTTCAGTGGCTCCCCAGGACCCGGTGAATCAAGTCCACACTCAGCAGCCTGGCATTCGAGGCCTCCAGCTCCAACCAGCTCCTCTAGGCCTGGGCTTCCCCTCCCCCTCAGGAACGCCATCACCTGGGCTGCCCAGCCCTTCGGGGCCCTCTCAAAGCACCAGCTCCTCCAGGAAGGTGACCTGAACTGTACCTCATTACATCACACCTGGCACGGCTTGCTGCTATTTCCTGGAGAGTGGGGACTGTGCCCTGTGTTTCCTAGGCTGAGGCACAGGCGAGGCCAGGTGCTGTGGACCACAGCTGGGAGGCCAGCGTCTGGGGTGAGACAAGGACTTGGGCACTTGAGCAGGCCTGCTCCACGCTCCCCTGCCAGGCAAGGGAGTACCTGCTGGTCAGCTTCCAGGGCACCGTCTCCGTGCCTCAGTTTCCCCAAAGCTGAAGAAGCCGCCCAGTAACCCTGCCTCCAGCTCTTCCTGGATGTGCCCAGGTACACGAGCAAACTCCGTCAATGCTGGGGCTCAGGCTTGGCAATAAACAAACCTGAACCCCGTGTGGCCATCAAGGCCTGCCTCAGGCAGCCAGCCATGACGCCACTGGTGACCGGGTCACCTGCCCAGAGGCTTCCTAATGCCCAAACAGGAACACCTGCAGGGCAGAGCTGCCACCTCTCCCCCTGGCACCCTCCCTCCTGGCCCCTCCCACAAGGAGAAGGCACTGCAGTCACGGAGCAGCCTCGCCCTGGCCTCCTGGGAGCACACGGAAAAGTCTCTCATCCCATCTTACAGACAGACAAAACAAGGCCAGGGAAGGGCTGACAGTGCCGGGGATGATGCCATGTCTGGCTCCCGTTTCTCTGTCCCCCGGCTCTGCTTCCACACTCGGCCCAGCCCGACTCAGCTCCCCAATGCGGGTTTCCCAAGGCCAAGCCTGAAGCTGGAATCCAACAGGCCAGCTTCTCTGGGGAGCCTCGACCTGGCCACTCTGCCCTCTCCCAGGGAGCAGGGGGTTTTACAAGGCAGAGGAGGAGGGCAAGGCTAGCCCTGGGGGCGGGGGGGGGGGGTGGGTGGGTAGCATCTCCAGCAGGGAGCTGGTTTTATTCCAGAAGCACAAGACCTCCCTCTACTGCTGCATCACCCCCCACCCCCCCCAAAAAAAAAAAAAAACCCTGCAGTGTGCAGGAGGCCAACTACCTGGCCTGGGTCCAAAGCCCCTCCTGGGAGGACAAGTGTAGCATGAAGTGGCGCCTCGTGGGTAGAGCCCACTTCTACCTCCCTGCCCAGCCTCAAGGTTTGTTCAGAAGCCCCTGGCTGGCCCAGATTTGAGAGATGCCAGAGAAGTAGCAGAGTTCACTGTTTATAGGGCATAGATTTGGGAGTCAGATTGACTGGGCTCAATCTTTACTCTGTCACTATTTAGCTGTATGGCTATGCTTCAGTCTTCCCATCTGTAAAATGGGATCAAGGTTCACCCTATAGCACTGTTGAGTAGATGCACGGAGTTAATACTGACAAAATCCTTACAACAACCCTGGTAGCCAGCGAGTACACCAAGGCCCTGGCCTACCCTCTTGGCCTCTGCCTGATCTCTGCCACCCAGGGTGCCCTCCTTCTCCCATCTAGCCAGCTCCAGGCCTTCTCCAGGCACGCCAGCCTGACCTAGACCTGGACTGCCAGCCCCTAGTTCCAGTGCTCACCGTGCAATGTGACCTAGGTCCACCCCGAGACCCCCTGTTGGGAGCCCAGATCTGAGATCCTCTGGCCCTCGGCCCTCTATTCTCAGAGTACCGGGCATGAGACTCGGCACTCACCCGGCTCCCCTTTGCAAATGGGAGAGCTACATGGGCGGAAAGAGAAGGGTCTGCAGAGAGACCCCCTCCCCCCAGCCCTTTCCTACTCCCTGCCCCCAGGGCTGGGCACCCACAGTCACCCTAGGCTGAACTCACTCCCTGGCTGCCCAGGCTGCTCGAATCTCCTGAGTTCAAGAACCACCCCCCTCCCCAAGACACACACACACACACACACACACACACACAGCCCTACCTCTGTTGATCCAGTCAGGATTTCCACCAAAGGAAATCAATTCCCCTCAGCCTACAGTGACCCCCCGCTGACACCACATGCTCGGCGACCCACAGGCCTGCCCTCAAGTCACCCGAACCTTCTCCACTTCCCTTTTTCACATCCCAGTGGCCCCCTCCGATTCTTGCAGCAGTCTGCACAAATGCTTTTGCAGAAAGAAAAGAAAAATCCTCAGGGTCACTGGGGGGCTAACGGGGCTCCTGTGCTGACTGCAAAACCCACCTCTTTCGGCCCAGCCCTGCCCTATCTCCTTCCCACCTGGCTCAGAGTTTCTTGAGCATCAGCCTCATCCAAGCTCCGTGCTGGATGCTCCAGATACAGCAACAGGCCCTGTGGCCAAGGTCTCATCCTTGAGCAAAGCCGAGTAAACAGACAACTGTTGCAAACAGTTATGAACCATGACAAGCATAATGAAGAAAGGAAAGCAGGTGTCAAGGTGAAGTGCAGAGGGGAGGGGAAGACATCTGAGGAATACTGGAGACCTCAAAAATAAAGAAGAGCAGAGCCTGCCTAGTAAATAGCACTGGAAGAAAATACCAGGTAAAAAAGCACAAGCAAATGTCCTGGGGCAGTGGGCGGGGGAAGCTTAGGGTGCTCAAGGAACAGGACTCGGTCAGGGAGAATGCAGAGGGGACCCTGGTCAGGGCAGCCTGGGAAAGTCAGCAGTGGCCAGGTCACAAAGCGACTGAGAGGTCAGGGGGGAGCTTTGAGGTTTCCTCCAAGTACAATAGGGAACTGTCAAGAGTTCTGGAGGAATGAGATGATCTCAAAAGTGTCTATCTCGTGCTCGCTGTTCTGTTAAAATCGATCAGAGGAAGGCCAGCACAGGGGTGGGGACGGAGTCCGCTGCTAGGCCAGCAGCAGCGTTCAGGTGAGACTTGCTCAGGGCGGCAGCCTGGGGCAGTGACAGCAGGGGCAGAGCACCAAGAACAGGCCTGAGATGGGCTTCGTGCAGACATCAAGGGGACCCTAACCCTAACCCTGGCTGTAGGGGGAGCAGGGAGTGGACTGTGGGCCATTTTCTGAGATGGCAAGGCTGGGGAGGGCACGCAGGGGTCTGCCTGGCCCGGGATTAGCTTTTAGTCACCCAGCACATCGCACATCATCAGGTAGGTGATGGGGAGAGGGGCTGGGGCTGGAGATAAAATCCACTACTTCAAATCAGGAGGTTGAAAACGAGGTACGTCTAAGAACCCTGTGTCTACACATTAATGTTTGACTTTTAAAGTCAGCCATGAGCAAGAGTGACCGCAGGGGTGGGGGAAGCAGGTGTAAACAGAGATGCAGGGAAAGATGTGGAGTCAAGGAGAGGAGGGGGCCCAGGACCAAGCCGGGAGCCGGGCCACCTTTACAGCCCAGAGAAGGAGCTGTGGGAAAAGAAACCCAGGGGGCGCCAGGGAGGCCTGACACCGGCTGTAGACTGACCCACGGTCAGGAGAGGGTGAAGACCCAGTGTGGGGGCGCAAACCCCTGGCAACCTTGACTGTGTGGCTTCAGTGAAGGCTTGGGTCGAGGCTGGGTCAGCCGGGGCTGCAGCTGCTGGGGGAGCACAGCCCCTCTCCCAAGTTCTGCTGTGAGAAGACCCTCCGTCCCTCCCAAGTCTGAGTGAGGCATCAAGGCTGGGGAGGGGAGGGGAGCAGCACCAGTTCTTACACCGTCAGGAGGGACCCGGAGGAGAGAGGACACTTCCAACACTGGGCAGCGCCGAGGGAACCGAGCAGTGGGAACAGAGAGCTGGAGAGGCAGGGGCCGCTGAGCTGCTTCTCCCTCCCTAACAAGTGGGAAGGGGCAGAGGGGCCGACTGCGGATGAGGGAGCCTTCCCTGCCACTCTTGCGGCCCAACACCTGCGGTCCCCTCCAATCGCGCCACTCCTTGGTGACCCCTGGCCCTGGCTGCCAGCCACGTTAAACGCACAGACCGGGCAGAGATGTGCCACCAGCAGCAGGTTCTGCAAACAACCTGCGGCAGAGCTCACCCCAGGTGACAGCCACTGCGCTTATCTCATCGGGCCGTGACCTCTCCTGGTGCAAGCTTCCGTGTGGGGAGGGGCCCTCGGGGACCCTCACTCGCTCCACCGGAGCCCCAGCCCCCACTCCAGGGCACTGGCCTCCCTCAGCCTCCCGCCTCCACCCCCTCAGCGCCGGCAGCCTGCGAACCCCTAGGTGGCCCCTCGCAGAGAGTGGCTCCCCACCCGGCCTGGGGCCTCCAGAGAGACCACCCCAAAGCCCGCAGCCCCGAGGCAGCGCGGCCCAGCCTCTCCTCGCGTCCCCGCCGGCATCCCTTCTCTTCTCTCCCCGGCGCCCACCAGCCCGGCCGCCCGAGTCTTCGCGGAGCGTCCGCGCCCGGCTTTGTCTGCGCCCACGGAGCGCGAGTGCCGGGAGCCCCGAGCGCTTCCTTCCCGCCCGCAGCCCGAGGGTCCGGCCTGCCCTCCATCCCCGGA